GCCAGAAGGAAAGGAGAGCGACATCTACACCCATACGGGCAAGATGAATACAGCTATCACACAAATAAAATTACTGGCTGCCGAGTAGCAACAGCTTAATGAAAATGTGAAGTGTTAAACAAATAAAGCCAGTCAAGCTCATAATACTTCTGCGTGGAATTTCACTGAGCAAAATTTCACTGAATCACTGAGCAAAAATAGAATTAGGTGTAGAAAAGGGATATCTGGAGAACTCTGCCTGCCTCTGTGCTTGGTGTATAAAGCTGGACTAAACAGGAGCAAGCCATACCTTAAATGTGGACATGATATGCTGACCTGAAGAAGAATTCTCTTTATCCAGATCAGGAGCCTGCTAAAGCAAGGCAGAAAGGGACAAGATAAAGCAATATATTTCCACTGAAGCCTAAATGCAAATTGTACAGAGGAATGGATGAGAACTGAATTTTTGCATTTCTTTAGCATCTTCTCCTGGTGAATAATTATCATACCTCTGTGTGGTTGGTAAGTAGTATTACTCTTAGGTACAGAAAGGGAAACTGAGGTGAGGATTTATCTACAGCTGCTGGGAGAATTTGGGAAGTGACTGACAAAGGAACCTGGGACTGTCTCATGCCCTCCAGGCAGTGCTGACCTTCCTGTAGCATGGGAGAACTGCAGGGTTTAGTAACACTGGCAAGCAGCTGGTAAAATCTTCAGGATGGGAGTTTAACAACCATTGTTGAGGTCCCATCTCAGAGCACAGTGCCTTAGCTGAGGTGTTGTGTTTTCAGCAGTTCTTTGTACTTTACCCTATCTTCATGAAAATTTCTGGAATTAAAGACATGCTCTTTAGGGCTAGTGCAGGTTAGTCATACATTCCAGGATGAGATCTGGAAAGGCAAAATGCAGTATGTAAAGCTGGAATCAGCTTGTGAAGAAGCCCTGCAGCCAAAGAGCTGTTGTATTTGCTTCCAAACAAAATTACATCCTCTCTCCCTGGCTTCTCCCATCTGTCTCTCTGTGGCTGTGAACAGTCAATGGATGCGATGATCCCTTAGAGTTGGGAGGACAACTGGAGTTGCTCCTTCTATCTCCTGTCTCTCATTTCCTCCACTCTCATGCTGATGGCATTTCTTCACAACAAACCATGTCTCAGCTAGCTTTGGTCTCAGGTTGAGGGGAGTCACTGGTGTATTGGAGGTGTTTTGTGTCTGGGTCACGCGAAGCTTTAATGCGCTGTGGAATTAGAAATGTTCTAGGAGTTTATATTCTAAGCACCTTTATTTTTCTGGGTGACCTTGTGAAATTTCCTTGCACTGGGCCTGTATCTTGCCATCCTGCTGCCTTTATCTAATTTGTTTTCTTGTGTATGTTGCTGACATCCAGTGAAGTGTAATTTGTTTGAGAAGTGGCACTTATAACAAGGATCCTGCTAGTAATCCCTGCATTGAATCCCTATATACACAATGTTCCAGGAATAATTAAAGTCACAAACTTCAATCTTGAGGGATGCACAGGGGAAACCTATCCTGAAATGAGGCTTGGCATTTTCTACTTCCAGTGCTTTTTAGCACTATAGGATTTGCTATTTTTGTTCCAGGACTGAAGTAGATTTAAGAGGAAGTCTGACATCCTGAATTTATATGTCCTAACAACAGTGTTCATCAGTCAGTCTTCTTACTATGTCCTTTCTCTACCCCTTCTCTCTATTAATTTTCCTCAATAGTCTGCAGGGATCATTTGCCAGCCTGATTCAAATTCTTGCACTTCCCTGGCATCTTGTTTTATAACATCTTGCATCATGTACTTTCCATTTCTGTAATCCATTTAATCCAAGATACTGAAATGGCTTTGCAGGTATTTATTGCATTTCTTTCTTCCTCGTGTAGGGAGGTAACAGGTCATTTATACAACTTAATCCAAAGTCTCTTGGCTTCTGGGGTTATTTTTTTCCTTTTATTTTCCCACTGATTATCCTGGAGGCTGGTAGCAAGAGCACGAATGACAGTATGGAGAAGTTGCATGTATTTGTGTCTAGTGTTTCATTATGTTGTGCCCAGAGCATGGCTTGGCAGTTTAGCAGTTAAACCCCTGCAGCCGCTGTCCCCCAGCAATAATACTACTGTTGCCTGTCCTTAATTTTTGGAAGCATTGGGCTTAGGGTTGGAAATAATGAAATGCTGTTGCATCAGTAAGTGGTTTTCCATTCCTTTTGGCTCTGGAAACGGATATTCACAGTTGGGTGAAGTTCATATTAATCCTCACAAGACCAGAGCTGGATTTGTACAAGTTGTCATTGTTCTGCTTTAGAAACACTCTGTGCCTTCTGGATCCCTTTATCCCTCCCAGGGGCTAATCCACAAGCTTGCAAAACACTCAGGGTGACTCCAGGTGCAGGATGGAGGGGCATTCAGTGCTGCCCATTTCTCCTCCTGCATTGCCTTCTCTCCCTGGTTCCAGAAAGGCACGGTAGTGTTTGTAGCACACGCGTCCTGATGTGTATAGATAGTGGGATGTAATTATCTTCCCCTGAGGTAGAGTCATTATGCTGGCTGTAAGGAGAGAGGGTCACACTCCTAATGGGAAATGATTTTAAAGCAATCTTGACCAAGTCTAGTGGAGCCATTTCAGAGCACTTAAAACTCAGCCAGTCCTTCACGGCACTTGTGATATGTCCATTTTATGCGGTGAGAGGCAATGGGACTAACGCTTGTCGAGGGATAAAGAAAATCTGTGATAAACTGCAGCACTGGCTTTGGGCAAGTGTTGTGTGTTGCCACAGGGGAAAGGCACCGACAGAGCCCAGTCTTGATTATTATTGTTCTTGATACCGATTTGGAAAAACGCAATGCACTTGCAGAAGCAATAAGCCAGAAGTTGTGAAATCTGCCACCTTGGGCTTCCTGTGCTACAAGAGCTGCCCCTCTACCCCCAGGCTTGATTCCTGCAGAAGCAAGAGGATTGTTCCCATTTCCCAGGCAGGTGGATGGGCAGATAGTGGCGCAGTCCCCAGATCACCAGTGGATGTACTAGCGGTTTACCTGGGAAGTTCAGCCTTCAAAAACATACTGTCTTACAAGGCAGATTTGCTCAGAGGTTGTTTAATAGCAAATACTACTTTGTGTTATGTCAGAGGAGGACAGACTTCAGCATGCTTTGGCATGTGCTGGGGTTGTGCTCAGTAGTGAGGTGAGGAGAAGGGTTTCGTCAGAGCTGATGGAAGGTGTCAGTCAGCAGTCGTAGGTCATATTAAGGGGCACTGGCAGGTCTGTTGGGATGAGCCCAGGACTAAAAAGCAAACACCACTTCACATAAGCGATTTTCTGTATTTCAGTTCTTTACTGAAGCACAATAGCCCAGGCTGTGCAGGTTAGCAAAGCTGCAAGCTGGTACCCAGGAGAGCAAGAATAACTAGTAGTGAAATACTCCATGTCTGATTTTCATCCTTTGAGCTCCTCTGTAATGTTACTGGAAAACAAAAATTGTTTAAATAATGGAACAGACCCAATGAAATTGTGCAGTGATGCAGAAGGGATGAGGAAGGGTTATTTCCTTTTTTTCCATTACTTTTCTTCTCCTGCCTTGCCTCCCAAACGTGGGTGGAATCTGCATGTCAGGCAGGAGCAACATCAGCCTGGCCTGGTGGCTTCTCTTAATGGCAAGCACGAGATTAAATGCAATTAACATTGATTGAACAAAAACTGCCCTCACTTTGTATGTGGATTAATTAACAGCCATCCTTTCAGCAGTGGCTTTTGTAGAGCCGTGTTTGTTCCTCCTGGCCCCGGTATTTTCTAGCTCATGTCCAAAATCAAAAGCACTGAGCCTATTCCCCACTGTGACGTCTGGGGCTACCGACTCAGCAGGGAGAGGCAGCCCCCCAGCCGGGATGATTTTTTGTGCAGTCTTGTAACTGTAGAGCTGCTCAGTCAGTGGCAAAATATTTCCTGTTAAGCAAGGCTAATGACAGGAGCTCTCTGCGAGTTAGAACAATGATCAGAACAATTGTCTGGAGGAAATCAATGTTATAATGCATGAACAAACAGGTGAGCCTCAGAACAGCTGGAGATTAGTTGTGCTGGTAAATAACTTCGTATTCGGGTGATGCAGAGCTATGGGGAGGTGTCAAGGCAGAGCAAAGCAAGCAGTGTCGGCTCTTGTGAGTGGAAGAAAAGGGAGGAGGAAACCAGAAAGACTGTTTCTGTTCCTTACACTCTGTTGTTGGGGTATGTAGACCAGAGGACTTCCACGTGAAAGCACTTTCCGGGGTGTTCTGACAATGCGTCTGGTGAGTTTTTTGAAAGGCGTCTTTTCTGCTGTCAAACCAGCTTTGAAGACACCATCTGGGGAAGTAGCCAAGAAGTCACTGGGTGAACTTCTCTGCTTTGCAAATCTATTAACACCAGTACAGGGAAGAGGGAAAACAAAACTCTCTTCATAGCTTTTTGAATTCATGCTTTTTGTTGCTGCCAGGCGTGCTCCTGCCCCTCCTTATTCCAGTCCCAAGGACAGTAACCGTTGAACTCCTGAAGGATGAGAGAGACAGAGAGGCTTTTCTGTGCAATAACTATATGGCACAGAAGTGCTGTGATCCATTAGTCAGCACAGCTGCTCCACAAAATAGCCAATACCCTGAGTGTAACAGAACAAATTGCACATAACCAAAAAATACCTACAGCATACATCAAACCAAAGTGACTCAAATGTCCCTTGCAGCGCTTTGGGGAGCTAATAGCCCCACAACAAATGCCTCATCCAGTGCAAGGGCCTTGAACACCCATCTTAGGACAGGTCAGGATTTTTGTATTTCATTAGTGCCTCTTTCCACACTAACTGAGATGAAAAAGTTGTGCGGTCACGTTGCTGAGATCTGCTGTCTGCCAACAGGTATTTTGGTGTTGAGAGCTACCTGCACACAGCAGGGAACTAGGAACTATGGAGATTAATTTCTACTTTGTCACTGACACTTCAAATGCACCGAGCCATTTATCATGGGGATCTGCTTTCTGATTTCTTCATAGGTATACAGTGCCCATATGTGTGAGCGCCGCGGTGCAACTGCCTAAAGGGATGTTAGAACAAAGGTAAGGCACATAGTGGAGGAAACTTGCAGGGTTTACCCTGTGAGACTAAAGGCTGGTTAAATAAACACATCTTAACACAGCTGAGGCTTGGCAAAGAGTGTCTCTGGCAAACACTGAGGGCGGAAGTTCCTCAGGGTCTGGCCTTTCAAGAGGGAGATTCCTCCACTGGCTGTGAGCCTCCAGCAAGACTGAGAGCTGAGGCAGAGAGCTGGCTAGTGACTGGGGGGAGTCAGAAAGGATGCTGTGGACTCCCCAGGCAGCCCTGAGCTTCTGTGCTGGGATGCGAACTGGGAAAAAAGGAACAGGAAAAAGGCAAGAGAGCAGTGCCTTAGAAAATCTTGCTGAAACTTGCTCTCTGTTAGAGGACAAGGACCACGCTGGGCACTGACTGGACTCCCTTCTCAGCAGGGGTGAGATTTGTGGAGCAAATCTATTTGCAGAGCTCAGCCCTTTCTCCTCACTCAACTGGAACCAGAACTGGAAAGCTACTGGCTTCCCCACAGGGGCTGCAAAGTGGCAGGCTGTGTCAGCTGAGCAACCACTTGATTTTGACTGCTGTTAGTTCCTGAGCAGGGTCTCACAGTAGTGGAAGAGCATGAGTTAGTGGCTCAAGGTCCCGTTTGCCAGGAGAGGCATGGAAGAAAACAAATGCTGTGTGCCCTCCAGCCGGACTTGCTGTCATGAGTGAACAGATTCCTATTCCTGTTTGTGCTGCTGAGGAATTTGCCTTGGTATGTACACTGCACTCACATGTAGAGGTGCTGGTCTGGAACCCATCCAGACTGGAACCTGGTGTCTACCTGCATTCCATTGGTAGTGGCATTAAAAATAGCCTGCCCTCCTCGTGCAAGAAGGGCACTGTCCCCTCTTGTTAGAGTGAGTGTGCGCTGCACTCTCCAAGGCTGATGTCTCCTGACTTGCTCTGCTAAGACTGCAGCAGAGACCAGCTAATGCCAGCTGTGGGACAATTATTTTGTGAGGAGTCACCAAACTTTTTCAGGCTGAGCCTCAACTCCATTTGTTGGAAGTATCCTGTCACGTGAGAACAACTTAGCTCATGACTCAAACTGCCTGGATTTGTTGTGTATGAGACTTGCCTGGTGCATATGCAATGATGAGGGCCTGGAGGAGAGATTATGTTTCTTCTTCCCTTTCCTGGCTCCTACTGCTCAAGGTAAGTGTTGTACTAGCCTGGTAGCAACTTGCAGGGAGGGTTTCAGGTTGGAAGAAAAGGAAGAAGCACCAAATTTGTGTTGGCATGGTTGCAATGCTAGGTGGAATTAAAACGTGAGGGTAAATAGTTAGCTTAGCAAAGAGAGGGTTTAGTCTTGGAGAGACAGTGTCCTTCCATGCTGCTGCACAGCATGTGAGGCAGGGAACTGTGTGCTATAAAGTAGTTAGCCATAGGTTTATAAACTGATGGCCTAGGAACAATTCTTTGTGTATTCTGAGTAGTGTAGACGTGATGGGCTAACAGACCACAGGGCCTACAGGGCTTCCACTGTGCAGCGTGCAGTGGGTGTGTGACACTACAGGAGCTGTCAAGAGACCCCCAGAGCTGTTCACTGTTAATGGGGTCTGTGCTGCATGGCATGTGCTGCAGGGAATCCAGAGGAAAATGGATTCACAGCGACCAACTCTGGTCTCACTTTCATGGTCAGTTCAACCTTAGCCATGTTAGAGGGTTCAGGATAGAAGAGGCCTGCACTGGTGTGGCAGGTGATGCCAGATCTAGATTGGCATCTGAACAGAAATGTCTGAAACGGCCGGGAAAGTTGTCCCTCTGCGCAGGTTGTTGAATACTGGGAGTCCTTCAATTCCCAAAAAAATGCCAACTCTATAACCATCATGAGCAGTTCGTGTCCCTGATGAGGGAGAGGGCATTAATTAGTTGCTCTATCCAGCACAGGCTGCTCTTAGATGTAATTGTCTCAGGCCTCTACTGGGAGCAGCGTGGGCTGATTGACGGTGTCATTACCTGCATCCTCTGTTCACGGAAGCTTCCCTTGGCGAGAGCTGCACTGCAGGAAATTGGTGTCTGGCCTGCCTGGCAGCCCATCAGTTCTGGGTCCAGTGCTCACTGTGCAAAAGATTTTGAGGAAGTTTAGTCATCCAGAGCAAGATGGAACCCGATTTTTTTGCACAAGGAATGTTTGTGAGCCTCCAGCTCAGTGCATCCCTGGTATGTGGGTAGGTTAGGCTGAAAGGAATTGATTGAGGTTAAGAGCTGGCTGTTTGCATTTTCTTCTGAAATTAAAAATATCATAGGATCATAAAATGGCTTTGATTGGAAGGGACGCTAAAGATCATCTAATTCCAACCCCCCTGCCATGGGCAGAGACACCTTCCACTAGACCAGGTTGAGATATGTAGTTATGATTTTGAACATGAAATTGCATAACTATGGTATTCTTTAAAATTGCTTTCAAAAAAAAGGTTTTGCTGTCTTCCATAAGGGTTAACCGCAGAGTGGCCACAGCAGTGTGGGTTTGGTTTTTTTTTTATTTTATTTTCAAAAAATGTAGCATTCCTAGATACTTCACTGAAGTGTTACAGTGTGAATATAACAAATTACTTTATTGCAAAATTGATCGTGAGTTGTTACTGCTTCACTCATTACAATTTCTGTGAGTGCTATTGGAGTTTTTAAAATGTATTGCTCTGTGCATAACTTCTAAGCCACTAATGATGAGAAAAATTACCTGGGAAATTAGAGTCAGTGGAGTAATATTGATAGTTCATTTGTCAGATTTCTGGTTAACCTTTGTCTAAATAATTTGGCAAACAATTTTGTCTTTATTCTTGAGTCTGTTGAAACTTTTCCAGTTCATTTTTGTCAGAGATGGGGCTGTCTTTGGAGATGCAAGGCCAGCACATTTGGTCTACATTGGCCATGTATCAGTCAATATCAGCCTACTATGCAGAAGTAGCCCAAATTACATGCTCACCCTCTGACACACCAAGTGTGCCAGCACCATTATTTTATGATGTTCTCCATTCTGATTTGCACTGAAGAAAGCACAGCTTTTCTCCCAGAAAGGCAAATGTCTGGAGAGTAGAACTGAGCTCAGATACAGCCCTAGTGATAAAGGGGTGGTGAGACCATAGGCAGTGAACTGATCCATTGCCTTTCTCTAGTCAGCATTAGCTGGGTCCTGTAAGCACGAATCAGTACTGAATGCTCTGCAGATGGACCTGCACATATCCAGAGCATTAGAAAAAGCAGCACTTCGCTGGGCTCACCCTCTGTGTTTCTGTGTAGCAGGAGGTCACTGACAGAGCAGTGCCACTGCTGATGTGGGAGAGCTGATAACCCAGGTTTTGAAGTAGGACCCAACTGAGGATATCTCAGATTTTTCAGAGGGAGAGGTGTTGTAACTGGTGTCGGGTGTGTTCTCATCCACTGCTGGTGGCATTGTGGATTTTATTTCTTTGACTTTATGGAATTGATAAGATAAAAACAGGAAGAGCCCACAGCAGGCTTTGCTATCTCCATCCTAAAAATATTGAAAGCCTCCTGTTTTTTTCTGCCCCTCAGAAGTTCACAGCTCATATGCAGATACCTCCAGGATCTGAAGAGGTGTCACTTAGGAGGTTTCTGGGGGGACAAAGCAGACATGATTTTGCTTTGAGTTTTAGAAGGGCTTGGGTCTTAATAGAATAAAGGCTGTCAGACATGTCAGGAGTTAGGGCAGTCTCTGAGTCCCAATCTTTCTTCTCCCCTCTCTAGTGCTCGCTCTTATGTTGATCCTATTCCAGGATGAGTGAGTGCTGTGTGCATGTTTGATGGCAGCTAATCAAAGTGCTCCTGTGTCCTGCTGGGCAGGACTTAGTGTGGAGCTACACTTATTCCTGCAACCTGGCTGCTCTGAGGCTTACCTGGAACCGTGGCTGTTCTCTCCTGCTATTGGCCGCTGCTTTTAGAATCCTAAGTGTTGCGACTGACCATATATTCTTGTTCACAGAATAAGTCTCACCTTTGATATCATGAGCTGCTTTCTTGCTTCTATAGTCCTCTCCCCTTGAGTGTCTTGCATTTTACAGCAGGTGAAACCTGATGATTTTTCTGTGGGATTTTCACCTTGCCAACGCTACCTTTCATTTCTGAGAGGAACATTCCAGTATCAACAACTGCATAACTAGCTTGCTGCCTCTTTCTTTTGTCTCCTTTTTTCTCCAGGAGCTGTTAGTTAATTCTGGATAAACATCAGCCGCCAAAGAGCAGAGGACAGGGACCACAGATGCCCTTGGAAGCCCCAACATCCTTCTGGACAGACACTGACCAAAACCGGTGCCTTCTGCCCTTCATGATCCAAGACAGCAACATGATTCCTCTTCTAATTGCCTGCATGTATCAGTCTCACTGTGGACATTCCTGGAGTTGGGAGAAGAGTCCCAGGAGAGGGGGATGCCATAGTTTCTTTTTATTGTTCTCCAATGTAAAGAATCGTGTTGACCCCAGGGGCTTCCAGTACAGCCTGTAGCTTGGGGTCTTGCCTGACATGAGCCTGATTCACCCTGTTCTAGCTTTGGTTTCACCAACCTACATCTGAGTTTCAAGAGCTGTTACCTGTCTGTTTGCTCTGGGGAAAAGAGTCCAAAGTATTTGGAAGTAACCCTGACTAGCTTGTTAGGATTAACTGTTCCTATCATGCTCCCATTGGTCACACCAGCAGGCGTGTTCCTTCCCTTCCAGGGTTCCCTCCTAAACAATAAAGTGTTTAATGGTCGCTGTGTGCTGTGAGATACTTTTAGTCCCATGAGTTTGTAAATCGCTGTTTTCTGCCTACTGCCCATGCCAACAAAAACTCCAAACAAGTGTGAGGAGTAGAAATATTTCAAGTCACAGTTTATAAATCGCAAAACTTGTTCATTTTGGTTCCGTGCTGAATGACTTTGGCTGATGTGAAAGTATTTGGAAGAGTGCAGAGTCCTGGCTGGAGGGAACTGGTTTTGGGGAATCATGCTGAAAAAAACCTTTGCCTGCTGGACCTTTCTCATCACTGGCTCTTGTTTGCAGTTCCTGCTCTGTCTGCCACAAACCACTGTCCCTTTCAGGCTTGTGCTCTGTGTTGAGCCTTCTCCTTGCCCAGTGAGGGATGAAGGAGGCTGGATGCATCTGGAATCTGATTCTCCTAGAGGTAGGTATGGCAAGGTTTGCAAAAGACCTGTCAGCAAACCGAGGAGCAGGTCTAGCTTGGTAACTTGATTCCTCTTCTCTGGCAACATTAGCTGCCTCTGTCCTTTCTGACTGCGTCTGACAGTTTCTGAAGAATGCGAACATGGATTTTTGGAGGTCGTGTCAGAGTTTAATGCAGTGTTTATGAAAATGGATGAAGGGGGCTGAGAATTGTTTTCTGTGTTATATTGTGCTTCATCTCTTTTTTTCTTTAGACAGCAACTTAGTGCTTTACATCTTCATTAAGGTAACAAAATGCTTTTCCTTGTGGAGAACTGATACCATAACCCTTTTCCTCCTCAGAAGTGATGTTTGCTTACCCATGGCTCATCTCTGTTAGTCTTAGATCTTGCAAAAATTCCAGGTTTTCATCATTGTATAGGTCAACCTTGCCATCCCCAAGGAAGGAAGGGCAAGTTTTTCCAAACTAAATAGGATATTTAGTGCCCTCAAATTTGTTTTAGCAGGACTGGGTGGGCTTTTGCTGCTGCTGCTGTGCCAGCTTTTGGATCTTGCTTTGGATAACCAGGTTCTACAGAGCCACAGAACTTGTGACTCTGCATGCAGAGATTTAGAGCAGCAAGGTCTATCCCTGACTAGGTTTGAAATTATTGTTGGTCTGAAGAGAAAAATACCTATTTTGTCTCCTCCTCATTTTCCTCTTGCCCCTATCCAGCATTGCCTTGGCATGAGTAATTTGCATGTCATTATTTCTGCTGCCCTAAATTGGGGGGGACTGTGATGCCAGGGCTGATTATTTGGCGGCACTGGGCAATTTTCTCTGTTAGGCAACTGTAATACATTTTCATGTTCTTTTATAATGAGCTTTATTTACCAAATTGGCAATTCCTCTGTTGAGAAATAACTGATTACAGTATTCAGGGAGTTGCTGTCATCTCAAGATATGCAGGTGTCTGTGGCACATAAACAGATGTGATCATTCAGACAGTGAACTCAATAGAGGGTGGGGGGGGAAAATCAGCCATAAAATCATAAATGTAAGAGCTACAACTAATGTTGGCCAGGTGCACTGCGGCTGTTTGCAGCCCAGCAAGGACAAAGTGGCACTCTAAGGCTATCCAGTACCTCCAGATGAGGGACTGCTTGATTATTAGCTGAAAATATACCTCTTGCCTGTCATTGCACTTCAATATGGGCTTGCCTAACTCTCTCTCTGGTAGCCTCTGAGGACAGACACTTGTTCATTGCACAGCCTTGAAATGAGGAACTCCTCTGTCCTGCCAGGTTGAGTTGGGCTTTAGTTTACTCTGTGCTGAATGTCTACAAACATCTTGGTGATCATGTCCATGGGGACTGTGATCCCATCTACCTTTCAGGCATTCCCTTTCCTTTAGTGTTTCCTAGAGCCCAGGAGAAATTTTTTTGCTGCTGTTGCCCTAATGACCAGCACAGATACCTGAGCCTGGGGGAAAATACGATGAGTGGAGAAGTCAGTAGGAAACTGCTGAAGATGAAGTTCAGTTTGCAGAGTCTCAGCTGCTATACTAGCAAAAAATATGCAGGTAACTCAGCCTCTTGAGTGTTTTCTCTTTCCCCTCATCTTTGATGCTCCTGTATTACTGAGACCCTTGCAAAGAGGGAAAAAGCCCTATACCTTCTCCTAAGCTCCCCTTCCTTATGTTTCTCGTCGACTGTGTGTTGGATATTGGGAGCAATTCTTTTTTTCCATGCAAGATTGTGACAGCAGGTGTCAGTTATGCTCCAGAGTGGCAGAGATGATTATTCCTGGAGCTTGGTGTGCAGTGTTGAATAGATGTCCTTACCACACCACTACCGTCACAGTCAGCATTAATGGGCAACGAGGACAGCAGGATAAACAAGGTCTGAGTCTATTGTGGAAGCTGAAACTAGAGGCAGTTTCCTCCAGAGGCAAGTTTGAGGTGGGGTAGAGGCAGCCAGCCGTGCTGCTGCCCGTGCTGCATGTGCTGGGTAAAAAGGAGCTCTTTTGTGTCCAGGAATATCTGTTTCACCAACTTAACCTGCCCAGGACCAGGTGCAGTTCAGGTGCAGTGCTCCATTCAGCTGAGCAGTGCATGTCCATTTTGCCTGCCCGGTTATTGCAGTTCTCTCTGCAAATTGGGTAATTTCGTGTACAAATGCATCCGGTGATTTGGATGCAATGTGCACAATTGTGGTAATTTCATCTGAAAATACAGCTTGCAGAGTGCCTGCTTTAAGAGTATGAATTGTTTCAAAACTTGCCAGATGAATGGAAAGAACAACCTTTTTATTCATGCGTAATTTCTTAGTGTTGCAGGAAGGGAAAAGAACAAAACCAGCAAAGTTAGAGAAGATACAGGAAATAACTGATACAAATTTTCCAGTAGGCCTCAATAGCTTTTTTAATGAAACATTCAACAAGCAGCACTTTGAGATTCCAGTGTGCAGGAACATCACCGGCACTCTAAGCACCAAATTTGTGATCTTGCATAAAAACACAACCCGTTGCCTCCTGTTGTTAATATTTCACACCTGACTTTGCAAGATGCTTTATCTAATATCCTCTCTGCATTCAGGCTTCTACCTACTCTGCCTTGTCCATAACAGGAGAGGCGGGAGGAGAAAAGCAATTGCCAAGTGTGTCTGTAATCTATGTAGGAGGGTTTTGTGTAGCTCTAGGGGTAGAAGAGTAAGTCTCATTTCCTATTTTATAGTCTGCTGAATCCTGTGATCTCATGCTGTGTGCTCCTTTTCCAAGCAGAATTTTTCAATTTGTTTTTCCAGTTGTTACTATTTTTTATTTCCAAACTGGTTAAAAGTGTTTGTCTGTAACTTGTCGATAAATTGTTTATGCCTAACTCCCTAAAATGCTTCATTGCCACTCTTACACATCTCAGGATCACCTTTTTCTTCCTTGTGCCCTCCCAGTGGGCTGTTGCACCCAGTACTCTTTTGGAGCCTGAAGGGCCATTCAGAGTCCTGCAATGGGTAATCCTACACCTGCTCCCAGTCACGGTTTATTTTTTGTTCTTGTAGAAGATGGATGTGATATTCCCGAACTGATTCACCTGCCTTGCCAGCCCTATCACTCTGCTCTTGGTATGTGTTGAATTCTCCTCACTTCCCTGGTTCTCCTGGGCTGATGCCTTGGCAGAATGAACGGTGATGTGGACTGAAGTGATTAGCCTGGATCTCCTTTGTGCTGAGGCTGTTCAGGCCAGTAATGCTCCCCCTCCATCTCCAACTCTGCTGTGTAATTGTGCTGGTAGAGTGGTAGTTGTGCAGCCTGGGGCAAAGCCAGAGGGAGCAAATGGAGCAGCCACTGGTCTCTCAGGAGGGCTCCCTGTCAAAAGTGTGTCTTGGATTTAATGACACGTGCTCTTTCAGACTTTTTATAGAGGTCAGCGCATGGCAGGGAACTTTTCTTTGTTGCCTTCCTAGGGAGAGCAGCACACAAACTTTTGTTTCCAAGTTGAAATCAACTGCTCCCTCAGGGCTATGTAACAAACTGCTCCTGAAACTGGTTTCCCCTTGTGAATGGCCTAAATTAGACACTCTCCCTGCTTGCCCTCAGTGAAATAGCTTGTGCTTTATCCAGCCATTTCATTTGTGCAGTGTGCTATGAGATGCTGGTGACACTTGTGTCTGGTTCCTGCTGCCCTGTATTATTCTCTGTGGGAGCTATTGCATGGAAGGCCTGCTGTCCCAGGGTGTGTAAGAGAAGGGGCAATAAGGACCTGGAATCTCATTTTGATTCCTCCTTTGTTTTCAGAAAGTTTATTTACAAATAATTTCTTATACCTTTGGAGCAGATTTGCTAATTGGCAGGAGTCCAAACAAAGCCCTGAGGCTCACTTGGCTCTTTTTGAAGAGTTAGGATCTGCTTACCTCCTTATGGATCCTTTAAAGCTTTAGTTTCAAAGTCCTTTTTGAATACTGAGTTGATATTGGAGTGACAACTGCCAGGCAAGTTGTCTTTGTACCCATCTACTGCTAACATTTTTGGCAAATTGGTGCATGCAGGTCAGTCCTATATATACTACCTGCTACTTTATCTACAGAATTAATTAAAAAAATATATTTTCACTCTTTAGGATCAGGAAAGAGTTTGGAGTCACCGAGACACTCCAGCCATGCCCTCTCTGTGCATGTGTCTGTGCATGAGCAGCTCTACTGGAGTCTCTGGGTGGGCATCTCATTCTGACCTAGTTGCATCATTAACCTAGGTATGTAGTCTGAAATGTGTGAATGGGTAATTTAGACCTTACAGGTAAGGAGGATATCACCAGCTTTCAGCCTCTGACTGCTGAGCCATCCAAAGAGCTGATTTCTCACAGGGGCAAGACAGGAGATACTCTCCATGCTTCAGAACCTTGTGCTGAGGTGCTAGTGGAGTTGGAATGGGTCTCTCTGGCAATTTTTCCCCCCTTTCGACTTTAGATCCGTTTTGTGCTATTTAGTCCTTGAACCGCCTGAGTTAATCTCTCTAATGGACATCAGCCGAGGACATGAGTGACACTCCCTTAGGAGGAGTGAGAAGGGTGTTATTTTTTCCCTCCTGTGACCTCTTGAACATCCCTCTATATCCAT